TATATATATATATATATATATATATATATATATATATATATATTCTTTATTCATATATCTATATTATTAAATATTCATATTTATATATATATTATATATATATATATATTTATATATATATAATAATAATATAGATATACGAATAAAGAATATATATATATATATATATATATATTTCCGTAGATCTCTCGCCAGATCTCTGAATTTTGTCTGTTTTCCTCGCATGACCTCCTCCCTCTTCGCCACTCGAATCCCGGTGCTGCCGTCGTTTTCAACAAGGAAATCGCGTCCCGATAAGATCATCGCGCTCGCGCGTTCCACACAACTATTCATTACCTCGATTATTTACAATGATTTTCATGCACACTTATATACGAACGTCCACGCATTTTTATAACTCGTATCCGGGATATAACGAGGTCATGACACGTTAATATTGCGTCGAAAAGTATTTATAGCATAGCGGTGCGATAATGTATGTGCGTGCGATTTAAAATTATCGCGAAGCCGGAATATTCGAGTCGATGATACCGTTTAATGGCGGCAACGCGCGCCAAGTCGACATAGAAAACCATACATATCGAGCGTAAAGCGAACAGAGTCCCGATGGGTACCCGGATACGCGCTTTGCATCCACAAGAGGCGGTACCGGTGTGCTCTTCAGTTGCTACAACTCTTCACACAGAAAGGTAAACCGACTAAGAGCCGCACAACCAACCCAGTTGTGTGTCCAGAGGCAATATTCGCATCGTTTGCGATGCCAACTTCCGACAGACCAAACGCTGCTTTTCATTATGCGAAAAGCACGTGGCCAGAAGAAGCAAAATTATGAGATAGGAGAGAGGAGAAAGCAAAACACTTTGAAAACACTTTGTGTTAACAATGGCTACGTCTTGCTGCGAAAGAAGAAGAGGAAAAATAGCAAACTTATCGTGCTCTCTGTAATCTCAACACAACAGCCTCTACGATCGTGCGAATTTTAACCTTATAGACGATACACATATAAGGTCATCAGCAGATAAAAGGTCAACGACGTACTGTCCGAAGTTCAAAACAAGCTTCTCAGAATTGTCGATAATGTATTGATTGAAGAATGTATTGGAAAGAGGGGCATGATGAGTATGCTAAAAAGGTATCGATCAGATAACTAAATACTTACGCTCAACTGTTCATTATCATGAGAGTAAACTCAATTAAATTTATATCAATGTGCCCTATGACAATGGAAATCTTTGAGAAATATTCTAAAATTCATGTAATCACAAGAGCGAAACGTTGATACATTACAGGGTTGTCAGATAGCAGTCTCCTTCGAGAAGGATTGTCCTCTTTAGACAAAATTTTCACGTTCTGTCAAAGACGCTATTTGTCCTTCCCACCGCATCGAGGGAGGACTTTTTTGCTCGTCAGACGTGGTGCGGTCTATCGAACTTATCTTACGTCGCCACAAGTTCATCTTGAGATATTCCTCAACACCTGACCACGAATACCACAGGAGTACCACACGCGAATCGGGGAAATAGGAATACGTGACGTATATAAATTCCAAAATTCAACGAAGCATTCAGGTAAAGAAATATTGAAAACTGCCGTTCACAAAAGTATATGTTGACCAGATGTACCCTACTCAGCAATCTTTTCTTTTCTTTTTCAAAACTTATGGCCGTCCTGTCAACTCACAAATCTGGCAACCCTAAGCCGATTAGAAGATTAGGGACACTCTAAAGCGATATAACGAACGCACAAACATAAACATATCACTATCTCCCATTATTTCTTGTAGGTTTAAATTAAAATTGGCATTCGTACGATACTACTGGCAATTGTATGATACTATCTCCAATTGCTTGGTGAAATTGATTGAAGAATGTATTGAAATGAGTGATATAGTAGTGAGTATGTGAAAAGGTATCGAACAGAAATCAGATGACTAAATATTTGACTCAACTTTTCCATTATCATAAGAGTAAACGCAGCCGAGTCCATATCGAAATCTCCGAAGCACGGTTCAGTGCCTGAAAGTTTTGAGATATCGCGAAATTCATGCATTCATATACGAAAAAGAAATTTCAGTTTGTCTGAACTTGTTCGGCCGCATTGAAACTCGGTTGAGGTAACTGAGAGCAATTGGCAGGAGTGAGAATCTACGGGAATCTTTCTGTTCCCACACATTCAAGTTTTCCATCTAGTTTTCAAACAACAGACAATTCACACTAACGGAGTTGTTTTTTTCTGTGTAAACAGAATGTCGATATACAGCCAACCGAAAGATTAGCGGCGCTTTAAAGCGCGATACCTCGACGATCACGAGCTCAAACTTATTACAGTGTATCCCTCATTGTTTCCTGCGTGTCCGAATCCAAATTGACATTCGCGATTGCGTACGATACTACCTCTAATTGCTCGGCGAAATTACTCGACGTACCTTATATCATTCGGATCTCAACAACTTGCTGCGTCTGTTTACGATTCGCCGAGGAAAGGAAACGTGGTGAGTATATACATGAGGAATCGCGATTCGCCGCGTATCAACGTTGTCGGACGGAACAACGTCTGACGCGCGATCCCACGTGCTGTTAAGCTAAGTGGCCGCAAAAAAAAAGAAAAAAAATTCGGAGCGTCGCGCCAGGTCTCGCGCAGTACCGTCTTGCTGCGCCGTGACTCCCGGGGTTAAGTAACATAATTCGATTAAGCGTAGATTTCTCTTAATAATAAACAGCAATTGCTTTATTGCGTGTAAAAGGGGTCATGCTGTCATTCGTAACGAGACATGTACGCAGTGGCATGCGGTATGTGCCGATAGATTCGATCAAGCGATAGAGCCGATCGCACCCCTCGCGTGTCCTGCAAACAACGTCCGCGACAATGAGTCGTAAACATCTCCGAACCACTCGACAAAGAGTGCCAAATAGTTGCTCTCCAATTTCTTGGTATTCGATTTCCTACTTTGTTATAAAACTAGAGACGAATGGATTTCAAATATATAGGTTTCATACTATTTTACCATTCCCAAGAGAATGAGCGCCAAAAGTTTCAAAATTTTGTCATTTCCAACGAGAATTCGAGTGATATGACTGTTGATGCAAATGACAAAGGTTTGAACAAAGATATTTATTTACGTAAAAAATTGCATTCTTCAATTTTTGTGGTGTCTCCATCAGTCCGACTGTTGGAGCCCATTTTCTTGAGAATGGTAAAAGAGTACATTTTAAAATTTATGTATATACGTAATCTATTCATGAGATTATCTCCTATTTTATAATTAATTGGGAAATCAAATACGAAGAAATTAAGGAGCACATCTTGGCCGCATTTTTTCGCCCAGGTTCGAGCTTTTCCACGCGACGTGAACTTCTCGTTCCAATGCAAAAGGAATTCGACAAACCCGGAATGAGGAACTCCACGGTCACGCGGTTCGCCACCCACGTTCCGTCTTATTCATAGTTTCAGCAGCGAGCAGAGGCGAACGCACAAGAGTACGTGTTATAATACACATTCGTCATTGGAAAGCCGATAATTTTGGGACCAGAGCGAAATGTCAAGTTTCAGTCCGAGTGCCGTACCAGAACTTTCAACATTCGACAAACTTAGCAGCGCGCAAGTGAACGCGCGCGCACGTGCGGCGTACTGCGACGGAACAGTATGGTCTCTCTCTCTCTCTCTCTCTCTCTCTCTCTCTCTCTCTCTCTCTCTCTCTCTCTCTCTCTCT